AACCACCAAAGTTCCTTATTTTGTAAAATGGAAGAGACAAAACGGAGTTAAAAAGCACTTTTGAAACTGAAGTGCCTTGCTGGGCCTACCTTTTCAGGGACTGTGTCCATGACCAGATCTCCATACATGTTCATCACCTAGGGAGAAAACTGGTGGCAACTTGCCTTGGAAGGTGCAGTGTGGCCACAGGGCTACCCATGCAGAAGGCCTGGGACACCTGCTCCCTGTATCCTCACCTTGTATTTCTACCCCTTCTCACCTGGTCATTGAGCCAGTTCTGCCCATATAAGGTCCCCAAGTCGTCCATGGTCAGCACATGACGTTTATAAGCCACTCGGAAGCCCCTGACCATGGCATTGCCTGGCATCCGCTGGTAAGACTGGATCAGCTGTAGCACTAGGCCCTTCCTGAGTAGGCCAAGGGTGGTGTAACACACAGAGAGAGTTGGAGTACACAGAAGCACTTTCTACTATCTAGAATAAGAATCTAAACCGATACATTATTTTTTTACTCATGGATCATTTTAAGGGAATGCTAAAGGCTTACTCCACAAAAGAGGCACATAAATACTGAGGTACACAGAGATTCCACATAAAGAACCTGCTAATTGGCCTATAGGCACCTGGTACCTTGCCCACAGATTCCTCTCTTTCAGCTCAAGATACTCCCTTTCAGTATCTCCCTACAGGGGAAATGGTAGCAACTTCTCTCTGTTCCCCTATTTGCCTTTGAAGGACGTCTGTCTTTGAAACCTCACCTGGAAGGTGTAGAAAACTCTTGCTGGAAAATGTCCTCCAACTTCTCTACTACCTCATCAGTGCTGAGGGGGATAAGACTACCGTAAGTTTGAAGGAATTCATCCAAGATACCTGAATGGAGAAGGGGAAAAAGGTGGAGTGAAGCATCCAGACTTTAATGCAGGTCTGCCCAGGGAAACCACCTGCATCCTCTAGGGCACCTTACTCTGCACACAGGTCACGTGTTCCTCCCGCAGGGGACTGTGCTGACCAGCTTTTTCCCCAGGCCGCTCTGCCTCTTCCACAGTACCCAAATCCGAGCCTTGAAAAAGCTCCTGGGCCACAGGGTCTCCAATACTGCACACATTGCTGATGAGGATGCTGGCATCAGGGGGTGCCAGACCTCGTTCCCCTTCTGGCCCAGGTGGTCCCCCAAAACCATTAGGCAGAGTACATGGAAGAAGGCCTAAAAGGCAAAGAGAAAAGGATAGGGATGAGAATTTTACCCAGAGAAAGAGATAATGAGAGGATTAAGGGATGCATAAAAATGAGGAAAACCACAGAAGCGTAACAGATCTACCAATATAGATCCTAAAGAAAGAAGGCCCCAAAGCATGAAATTAACATGTATTTAAGAGATTAGGAAGCACAGAAATTACCTTCCCACAGAAGAAAAAACTAGTATCCAGAGAGTTACCACTATATGCTCAGCATTGGACCTGACATATAATAAAGGAGCTATAGACACTTGGATACTTAATACATGTAAAAGGCCTGAACTTATGTTCTGGTGGATTTCTCCTAAAGGAAAATGCTATGAGTGTGAATATCAGGCACAAGCATAGTGAATGTGGCATCCTACCCATATTCCAAGGAACTGGTGCCCTCTGGGGAAGCAGAAACTAGAGGCTGAGGAAAACATTTCACGTGGACAAGACCATTTAATTTCTTAAAAACAAAAATGATTCCTGCTTCATGTGGGGCTTAAGACATTTTATGGCTATTATGGACCCTAGTTTCCTCAGAACCAGTTATCAGGACTATCTTGCGGCTGCAGACTCTTAGTTTGCCTCCCTCCTTCCCTCCCAAACTCTTTCCCATCTTACCAGAGTCAGGGTCCCGAGGAGACTTTGGGGTCCACCTGATTCCATCTTCTTCCACATGGGGTCCAGAGGGTACTGGTGGAGACCCTCTCACTCCGTCCTCGGCCATGAGAGCACCTAGCAAACCCAGCCGGGGTGGGGGCGGCCCCCGGGGGGAGTCAAAACGACAGCAGGGGGATGGCACCTGTGGTGTTGCACCCCCCTCCTGGGGTGAAAGATGGTTCTTGGGGTGCATGAGGCCCCGCCGCCGGCCCCGGTGGCGCCCCCAAAGCTTCCAGTGGAATGTCAGTGAGGTGCTTTTTGAGTAGAGCAACATCCGGAAGGCTCTCTTAGCTCTGCGGCGGCGCTGTGCGCAGGCTTTTCGATGATTGGTGCGGAGATGGTGAGGCCGCTGGGGAGCTCCAAGCTGACCCCAACTAGGGGGCAGCCTCCAAGCTGCCACTTCTTCCTCCTCCTCTTCCTCCTCCTCTTCCTCCTCTTCACTAGCAGAGGCATCAAAGGAGGGTCGAGGGACAGGGAGGCATCTGGCTGGCACTGTGGTCCCTGACCCAGGATCTGGCCCAAACCCTCCACCTGATTTGAGTCGAGGTTTGGGAGGTGGAGGCCAACGAAGACGCTCCCTCCTGGGGCTTGAGTAAACTGGGGCTAAGCCAGGTCCAGAAGGCTCAGGCCCCCAAGACCCAGTCCCTTGTATAGTCTCTTTCATTGTTCAGTAGCCTGTAAAAAAAGGTTAAGAGTCTCAGATCCAGACACCCTGCGCGCTTCAACGCCTGATTTTCTTCTTTGGCACGCCTACCCAGTTTCCATATACAGATAAACTAGTCAAAGAGAAAAGATGTAAGTTTATAATGCCAGATCTTCCTGGCTAACAAAGTTAACAAAAAAAGGTCATTTAGGGACTGTGCCATCAGACCTCAGCTACTTATGTGGAGGCAGCAGGCCTCCTGTTTCTTCGTTTTCTAAACAAACTCACTATTTTCTAGTTACATTTTAATAGTATCATGTGTAACACTGAGACCCTAATGATCGTAATACGGGACTCTCGACATGGGACAGAAGGTCTACAGAGAGACTGGGCTACAGTGGGGAGAGGGGTCTTTACCAGCCCGGGATGAAAAACGGCGGGCAAGCTACGGTCTCTGAGAAAGCAATGGGGATGCTAAGGCTACGATTCAGGGGGTAGAATCTGATGAAAGAGGAAGGATTTCCAAGGGAATGTAAAGAGAACCGAATGAGTGCTGACCGAGTAGAAGAAAAGAGCTGGAGTAGAACTGAGGCGCACAAACCAGGTAGCCCAGCCTCCCTCCGGCCCACTCCCTGGGGAGCGGAACACGTCGCAGCACCGGTATGGTCCTACAGGACCAGTCAGCTCGGAGCACAAGGGCCTTAAGAAGCCACTTCAGGGCTCCTAGGCCCGGGTTAAGTGAGAGCGAGGCTCCACGATGGGGCAAACCGAACAGCAGGGCTGGGGGGAGGGGTCGAGGCGTCCTCACCGGGAGCAGGGAAGCCGGGCGGACGGGCCGGAGGGCGGACGTCTCCAGCCTCAGGCTTCCCGGCTCATCTCTCCGGCGACGGTGGCGGCTCCGCCACCCCGGCTGTCTTCAGGTGCGGCTGCCTCAACTGAGGATTTCACTGCCCTCGGGCCCAACGACGAGCAGCCCAGCCGCTCTGCTGCCGACGCCTCTAGCTCGGCTTCAGCCGCCAACTCCACCACCTCCCCCTCCCCCTCCTCTTCTTTCCCCTCCCGCGAGCCCCAGGCCCACCGGCAGCGGCGGCGCACAATGTATACGTCACGGCCGGAGAACGGCGCTTGCGCACATAGCCCGCTCCTGTTTGAGTCTACCCAAGAACTTAGAGGACCGAAGACTGTCCCGCCCCCGAGGCCTAACCCGAGGCCGCGCCTGCGCACAACCGTTGATTTGAGCCTCCTGCACGCCCACTCGCTGTTTTACGCCTGCGTATTTGATCTCTCTTCGGGCTTGCTAGGGAGCCACAGTTTCTTTGGCTTTGGTAGACCTGGCCGTAGAGGCATCTGATACCTTCGACCAGCAGGGCGTACCTGAGGAGAACTGGGCAAAAGCAAGAGGGTTCTCGCCAACAAGATGCTGTGTGTATATTGGTTGAGGGACATAATTTCCTTCAGTGCGGATGTCTGGGTACTGTGGACTAAGTAACCCACATGTACTCGTAAAGCACCCATCTGTAACCTCAGGAAACACATATACAGTTATCTCAAATGCACCTGCTGACATACATTGGTGCTTAATCACGTTGCTCAAAAAGAAAACCATCATACATGCATGGACCCTAGTTTCTGGGCCGCACTGTCAGATGCTAGGAGCTAGGATGCCAACGGAAACAAAGGGAGGCGTGGGAGGGCAGGGAAATGCCGGTACAGAGATAGGACTGAGGCGAGGCGATGGGGAAGTGAGTCGGGGGCGGGGAGGGATAATTTATCCTCTTTTTATTTAACGTTGAGCAAGGTTTGGGCTGAAAGGACACCTGAGAGGAGTCGCAAAGCACCAGCACCGTGAGCTGTATCAGGGGCCTTCCGCGGATGAGTCCGGCCTAGAGTGGCTCAGAGCGACCTGCCACGCCAGGGGAGCAGAGAGCACGAAAGGCAGAATTTCGGACGCATAAAAGAAATACGACTTGGAAGGAACTGTCGTTGATACCCCCAGCAAACGCACCTCTGGAGATAGGGATAGAAACTGGTGCTCAGTATATTATGAAGAGGCAATGTATAGAAGGTGGCAGCACAAAGGGTGAGGGTGAGGCTTCGGAGGCGGGAAACAGGCAGGATACCTCGAACGAGGGGCCTGTTATAGGCCACCAGGTGGGGTTTCGGGCCCTCTGATGGTAGGCAGGATAATTCCCCCAAACGGCCGCTAGATGGCAGCGCTGTTCTGGAAGCATTCCAGTGGGACCCACAGCGGGTCTGGACAGTGACTGCTTTCCTCCCTCTTCCTTTCAGATGAGAAATAAAAGTAAGGTCTTCTAGCTCTTTAGAGTGTCCATAAAATCATAGGTCCGAGAGTGGAGGAAGAAAAAGGAGGAACGGAGAATCATTCCCAGTCCTCTGGTCAGCTCACTACTCTTAACTATCTCCAACATAACGCACCGGGGTCCTCCACGTTCACACCCACCTTTCATAGCACAGTCATAGTTTCACAAGGCCAAGGAAGGTACCATGTGGAGAGAGGCTAAGTTTGGCCTTTGCCCGAGGAATTGTGACACTCAGAACATCCCCTTGGTCTAAGTGGAAGACACCTAAGAAAGGTAGAGAGATGTCTGGTGAGACCACCGTCCAGATGCTCCGATGTTTCACTCTCCCATCCTTATCGCCACCTTTCTACTGCTTCCTATAAGAGCCTAGGTGTTCAGTCCTTAGTTCCTTACGACTCCAGGCCCCGGCCTCCATTGTAGCTCCTCAGAATGCCCCTCTGGCCCCTCCTTCATATGCATGCCCCCATTCAGTTCAGGGATTCAGTTTGCTCTCTGAATCCACTTCTACTGCCTGTATGCCTCTCACCTGCACTGTAGCAACTATTGTAGGCCCGGTCAGGGTTGGAGGGCATGCTCTGTACACATCGGAATAGAGTCTCCTCCTTTCCCGGGCTTTGCCGAGTCACCACCTGACCCATGGTGAAAGTCACATCTTGGAACAGGACCTGGTAAGACAGGAGATAAAATGGGATGGCATGGCTCACATCGGGGACGCCTCAGGAACCCTGTTGTCTCCTGGGAATGAAGAAGGATATTCTGAGCTCCCTACTGACAAAGGGGTTGGGAGCCCTTGAGACAGGGCAGCCAGGCTGTGGGAGAACAGAGAAGAGGTGGTTTCCAGTCTCCCATGCCAAGTTCAAGGTATGCTAGGTTACCTGGCTATACAGCAGATAAATTCCAGTGTCCCAGACTCGGACAACATGTCCTCGGGCCTCCAGGCCTCTACCACGCCTGAGAGCCACTTGCCATGTCACCTCTGTCACATCTGCGTCCTCTGGAGGTTGAGGAGTGCCAGACACATGATGAATGGGGCTTGGACCCCAAGGCCAGCCCCCAGGTGTTACCTTCCCACAAAGCTGTTATTTAAAGTTGTGCTTACCCTTGTAGGTGATGTTAAGGGGAACAAGGTGCAGAATGGAGTGCTTCTCTAAAGAAAGGGAAAAAAACTCAGCAGCGAGCCCTATGGCTCTGTTCTGGGCCCCAACCCCTTATGCCATCCTATGCTTGCTATCCTAGTAAGGTCACCTCCCTCCCCAGGCAGCACCACCCCAGAGGCCTCACGCTTCTGTTTAGGTGTCAGCACAGATCTCTTCCTCCGGGATTTCTCTCCTTTCTCCCAGGCTTCCAGGTGGTCAGGGCTCTGCTCAATGGAAGAGGGTCAGGGCTAGACAAAGATGCAAAGGTGCCAGCCCACCTTTGCAGCCTTCCTGCAGCGCCAGGAATGCTTCATTTAGTTCATGCACCTTTCCCCTGCACCCAGGCTTGGGACTGGCTGTCCTCCAGGATTTGTTAGGTATGAGAAGCATTAATCTTTTAACTGTTTCCTTTCCTGAAATGGCTGTTCATTCCCTTGACTTCTTGACCCAGGACTCTGTCCTGCAGTTCTTGAAGTTATGCAGACCATGAGACAGGATCAGGGAGGCCCGAAGACCCCCTGCCACCCACCCTTCTCTCCCAGATACCCTTCTCCCCTGGCTCACCTGTGCCCCGAGGCTGTGCCTGGGCAGCCCCTCCCCCTTCCGGGAGTGCCATCCAGTCCTCTGCAGCCAGCTCACCTCTCTCCTTAAGGTTTGCAGCTCTGTTTGTTGGGTCATCAGAGCAAGGGCACAAGCCACAGCCCCCAGAGCCGCCCCCCAACTCAACCAGAGGGCAACTGAGAGTGCGGGCTCTCGAGCTGGGGACACCATCTCACTCTGGTGCCCTTTGGGAGCTACCAGGGAAGAAGAAGAGGTCAGCATGAGCTGGGGACACTGCTGACAGCTGTGGCCTCAGGAGTGGGGTGACCAGGAGGGGGCGGAAGAGGGGGCGTGGGCACTAGTGCAGAAGGGTGTTACGCAAAGGAGAAATAAAAAAGGAACTTGAGAAGGAAAAGGAAGGAAAGCAAGCTAGGGGTGCTGTCTGGTGCGCCTGACACCCTGCTGTGAGGCCAATGCTGTCTGTGACTCCTGCTCCCCCCCCACCCCCCAGCCTAAGAAGATTCTGGAGTGGGTCTCTCTAGGAAGAACAGGACTGCCAGTGACACCCAGGGGGAGCGGCCTGAGCCAAAGAGTCCAGGGCGGCCCCAGAAGTGGGGGAGGGAGAGCTGGCGGCGCTGGGGCATGGTGCCAGGAGGAGGGATGGAGGGATCAAGCTGGTTGGTGTGGCAGGTCAGGAGTGAGACCAGTGGACTGCCTGGCTCAGGCACAGGGGGATCACTGGAGAAACATGCAGAGGAGAAGCGATCAAGGTGGGAAAGAGGGGTGCAAGCCAATGGGGAGGAGAACCAGGGTGGAAGGGTGGAGGAAGCCTGGCTGCACTCTGGGGTGAAGGCTGGGCCGGGTGTGTTGGAATAAATCCTTTACTGCTCCCTGTACTGAACTTGGCAAGCATGAAACTTCCTGTTTCCTGGGAAAAGCTCTTACATAAGGCTACGGATGAAAAGGGAGAAAGAGAGAGAGTCACAAGCATCCAGCCCCTGAAGGCCTCTTCCCCAGACCCAGAGGCCCATGTGCCTGCATCCTGGGCCCCCTCCAGGTCTGCTGTCACCCCAAACCACCACCAGACTCTGTGCCAGCTCCTGCCCAATGTCCCCAGCTAGCCAAGCGGAAGGACTCCACTAGTCTCCGCCAGGGATTCCCCTACAGGAGGAAGCCCGCCTCTTAGGTAAATGAGGCTAGTGGGCAGCACCTGGACACAGCAGTGATGATTTCTTCCCCTTGAGTTGTTTGCCTTTCTTTTCTTGGCTTATGCCTGAAGGCTAGAGATATTCTAGGTCCCAGCTCCTGGTCCCAGCCCTCTGAAGCCCAGACCCCTTCTCCTGGCCCTCTGCTTTCCTGAGAATGTCCTGGAGACCCCAAGAAAGAAAGAGATTATTAATTATTCTCTTTAATATCCACTTATCAACATTTTGTCACAATAATAATAAAAATAATATCTGTTTTAAAATCCATAGGGACGCATAGGACAGAGCTGTTCTTGGTCTCTTCCTCCTCACATTTGGGGACACATGGCCTCATCCCAAGTCCCAGTCTCTTTGGCTTTCTGCCATCAGGTTCAGCCCCTCTTAGTACCTGAAGAAGGGTCTTCTGGGCCCATCCTTCCCCATAGAGTAAACAGTGTTCTGGGGGGGGGGCCACAGTCCGGGTTGGAGGAGATAAATGGGAGAGAGGCCAGGGCTTTGGGAACCGGTGGAGTAGGCAGCCCAAGGGTAGGCCTTTTGAAGGGAATAACAGGATTGTGTATGTGTGATAGCAACAAGTGAGCAAGCCTGAGGCCTATGAGGGAGGGAGCCTGGAGTGAGGAGCTGTTTAGGAGTGGAGGAAGTGGGGAGCCAGAAACTTGGGAGAACCATTGCAGGAGCAGAGCCCCCTCAGTGAATCTGGAAAAGTCCGAAGTAGGTGAGGAAGGGGGCAGCCTTGAGATGTGCCCTGGGGAGGGTGCGGATCTGTAGGGAGGAACCTGACCGAAGAGGCAACAGCCCAGACACTTGGCAGAGGCGGAGCTGGGGCCCCAGAGAGCTGGCGGCTGTGGCCGAGAACTCTTCCAGGCATCTCAGGGCCAGGGTTTTATCCACCAGCAAATCCAGCTTCAGGTAGACGGCCTTCCCCTCATCAAAGTGCACCTGGAGGCAGGGGGAAGGCAAGCAGAGAGTCCAGGTCTCTGCTTGCCCTCACCTTAATTTGAAACTTCCTCAGAGAGGCAGGTGCCCCATCCCACGCGAACCCCCATGTGCTCCTCCTTCAGCCTTTAGCTTGTTCCTTCCTCTCAAGCATACACTCCTCCCTCATTTGCTGCTCTGGCCCTAGATCCAGGTGGGGCTTACCTGACAGTACAGGTAGTAGAGCCCAGCCCGTGTGACTGTGAATTTCCCACGCTGGCGGTCATAGCGGAGCGGGTTGGAGCTGTTGATTTTGGCCTCCTCCCAGCCACTCACTGTCCCGTCCACACCTGGATATTAATGTTCAGAGATAAGGCAAGGCCCCTTTACAAGGATTCCCCCACTCCCGAGGGGAAGTGAACATTTGGTTCTGTGATGTTTGGGACCCACTTTACCCATTAGAGAGCTCTGCTGGTGTAGTCAAAAGGGAGTCATACTGCTCCCCCTAAAGGTGACAGCTCTCAGGCACTTAGAATCCATCCAGCTTGTGGCTCTCAGGGAGAGAGATGGGCAATCTCTTGCTGTGTGATTGACAGCCTCTGAAAACCAGCTATGAGTTGGTTCCAACTTGACTGCAATGATTTTATGTTATGATGTGGTTGGGTTTTGGTTTTTATTTTGGTTGTGTTTTTTTTTTTTCCAAACAAGAAGAAGCCCTGGTGGCAGTGTAGGTCAAGCACTCATCTACTAATTAAAAGGTGAGTGGTTTGAACCCACCAGCAGAAAGATGTGTCATTCTTCATAAGGATACACAGCCCTGGAAAGCCATGGGCAGCTCTTCCGTTCCCTACAGGGTCACCACTTGTTGGAATTGATTAGTCAACTCTGGCTTTGGCTTGCTTTTATTTTATCCCAAAGATTATATAGGCCACTTAGGACAAAGGAATAGCCGATCTCCATGGAGCCCACCCACCATATGATAGAAATCTAGCGCAGAAGCCATTGAACATACAGATGAGAAGGACCAGAAAGACACAGTGAAGCTGTTATCAGTGGCCACTTCTAGGAAGGAGAACAAGATCAAAGGAAAAGTAAGGGTGGGCTTTTATATTTAATATATTTCTCCACTTTTGTCCCTATTTACTCAATAATATTTTTTATTTTTCTTATGCATATCAAAGTTGGACATTGATAAGAAAGACTGAAGAACTGATTTTTAATTGTGTTGGCAAAGAGCATTAGTATCCCACAGACTGCCAAAAGAACACACACATGCGTCTGGAAGAAGTGCAACCAGGATGCTCCTTAGAGGTAAGAATGATGAAACTTTGTCTCATATACTTTGAACATGTTGTCAAGAGGAGTCAGTCCTTAGCAAACAGACATTATGCTGGGAAAGGGGGAGTGTCAGCGAAAGACACTGATACACTGATACACTCACTGCAACAATGGGCTGGGCTGTTGAGGAGGTTGTGGCATTGTGGCTGACTTGACAGCACCTAACAATGACTTGCTGCAATTGTTTGCCTTTTACATTGAGAATATATTAATTCACAATTAGAACAAAAATAAAAAACAATGCTCACATGTCCATCCACCCAACAGAATATTATGCAGCCATTAAAAGTAGTACAGAGTGCTCTGTTCAGCAGCACATGTACTGAAACTGGAATGATACAGAGAAGATTAGCATGGCCCCTACACAAGGATGACATGCAATTTGTGAATCATATTTTTAGGTATATTACAAAGAGGACTGGGGGAGGGGGAGGGAATGGGGAAGGGATAATAATGTGCAACAGTGAATTGAAAATCCAAATTTTTTGTAAACTTTTGTTAAAATCACAATTAAAATAAATTTTTTTAAAAGAAATAAAGTCCTGGCACATGCCACAATACTTGAAAAACAATATACTATGTGAAAGAAACGTGTCATGAAAAGTTGCATGCTTTATGGTTTTATCTATATGAAACATCTAGAATGGGTAAATTTGTAGGCAGAGTAGTTAGTGATTGCACAAGGCAGGGTAGGAAGGGGTGGAGAAATGCAGGCAGCTACAGGGTGGAAACCAGCCGACTGTGGTCAAGTCAAGGCTGAATCCTGGTGACCTGTGTGCATCACAGCAGAACTCCACTGGTTTTGCAGTGGTCCCGACATTTGGAAGCAGGCTGCCAGACCTGTCTCCTGAGGTTAATTTTGTCTGGATTTGAATCACCGACTTATAGGTTGGTAAACAACCATTTGTTCCATTCAGGGATGTCAGCTAAAGGGTATGGGGTTTCTTTGCGAGATGAAAAGCTTCTAAGATTAATGGTGGTGAGGGTTGCACAATTCTGTGAATATAGTAACGATCATTGACTTATACACTTAAAATAGGTGAATGGCATGGGGTGCGTAATCCAGTTCAAGAAAGTTGTTAACAACAAAAAATAAGAACCTAGGACTAGTGTAATTTAAAAAAAGAAAATGTAAAAACTTAAAAAACAAAAAGTATAGTAAATGGCTTCCCAAGTCCTCCACTGACCACCCTTTCCAGACTTTCCAGTTTAATTTCACGCACACTTTCTAATTACTCACAAGACCTCAGACACTCACACCTCCTTTCTGCATCTCCTTCACACCAAACCCATCCTCCCTGCTGACCCTATTACTGCTCGCCCCTTTTCAAGGACACTCTTCACTGCTGTCCCTTGAGCCTCAGCAGGACTGAGAGACCTTCTAGGGACACTGTTTTAAAACAACCAAGCCTACCCATGCTGCCATTAACCCTTCCATTTCACCCCGTTTTTTCCAGCACAGTCACCAACAGCAGAAATTATTTTGTTTGTTTGAGAGTGACTGCCCTAACCAGGACGGGAACAAAACAAAACAAAAAAACCCCAGACCTAACAGCTGTCACGTCTGTTCCACCTGGCAGGGAAGGGACAGCCGCAGCTTACTCATCACTGACTCCTGGGGAGCTGGGTGGGCACCCAGTAAACGCTGCTGGGAAGACAGGGAATGAGGTGAACATGGCTGGAAGCTCACTACTCAATGGGGCACAGGCTGGGCCCGATCACCCTGCCTGGTCCTCAAGAGGCTTCTTCAGCTGCCTTCTCCAGACCCTTTCCCTCTGCCAGCCCAGCCTCTGTGTTTGTCGTGTGGACAAGCTCTCACAGGGTATTTTCATCCTCCCATGTGTTTAACATGGTTATCTTTCTGACTACAGACTCAAGTCTCCAGGTGACGTTGTCTCTTCTTCCTTCCCCTCCCCACCCCTACCCCACTACCACCACCATCTGACGAGCCCTGAGCCTCAGACTCAGCTGACCCAAACCGAGCTTGTCTCCTCCCATGCTCCTTGAATTGGCTTTACTGTCTATATTCTACATTTGGATCATAGTCTTCCACAACCACCAGTACTCACACCTCCTTCACCTTGTTCATGACCTCCAGTTCCTATCAATCCTGTCTCCAAAATAATTCCACTCCATCTCCCCCTCCAGCCTGGTCCTGACCATTTCTTATTGGGGCTCCATATTTATTGATAATGTTATTGGGGTAATGAGGGTAGGTATGATGGAATCAGTGAGACTGGCTCAGAACAGGGCAGGCTTTAGAGCTGATGTACATAGGGTCGCTATGAGTCGCAGACAACTCGATGACACATAACAACATATTTTTTACCTCATCTCCTCCCTGTTCTGACAACCACAGTGCTCATCCTCAGATGCGGATTTGACCTGTTTATCTTTGGCTTAATCTTTCAAATGGCTTACCTTAGATTAACTTCAATTTCCATCTGTAACCGGCTCCTGTCGTGTTCTCCAGCCTCATATCCCAGCCTGCCCAGCTAGCACTATTTGCTTTATCCACCAGGCACTTCTCACAGTCCTCTGGTCTCGAAATACTCCTGGTAAACCTAGAGAGTTTTTACCAGGTATGCCCCTTACTCCTTGTCCATTTCAGTCTGGCTCAAGGCCCAAGAGAGTTATGTCCTCAATGCGTCCCTGGCTTCATTGTAAAGTTATGTTTGTCCTCTTCCACGCCATTGGCTCCTTTCATTGTTTTACTTGTTATCTTGTTGTGTAACTGTTCTTTTCTAGACTTCTTGAAGATGTTTTTGTTGTTGTGTACAGCCAAGTTGAAACCCCGACTTATAGCTGACCCTCCAGCAGGATTTTAGAGGCTGTAAATCACAGGGGAGATTGCCCATCTTTCTCCTGTGGAGCAGCTACTAGATTAAAATCAGGTGCTTTTGTATTGGCAGCACGATTTCTTACCACTAAGCCACCATAGGCCTTCTATTCCTCACTGCAAGGAACTGTTTGAGTCCCTAACAGCCAGTGTGGTCTTTCATGTGTGCTGAGTCAGTGCATGAATTGATGTTGGGGTAGTTGCTACAGTAAGTAGCATGTACTTAGGGGAGCAAGACTGGCCTGGAAGCAGTAGGAGGGCATGCCTAGCCATGGAATCCGCTTCAGTAAAGGCTGGGGGTGGCAGAGGGCACCTCTTCTAGTCTGTTCTGGTAACCTGATGTGCCTGGGGCACACATGGTTTCTAAGCAGTTTCAGCCACAGATCTCAAGTGACAGTTCCATATTGTCTCGCTACCCTCCTAGTGGAAAGACGGGCAAATTCCTTCTGTGCACTTCACTGCCTCTGAAAACCCATTGAAGGGTCAGCTATGAGTTAGTTGGTTCTGACTCCGTGATATATAATAAAAACCTGCTTACTTAACTTTTGTCCACTAACCCTACTTTTGCATTCATCAAAGCCAACTTTGTGTATTGTTTCTCTTCAAATCTCCTGCCCTGTCTCCCGAGTTCTTCAGAGCTCTCTCATCTCTCCTTACCAAGTCCACAAGCCCACCTGTCCTCATTTCCTCCTGGGACCCTCCTGTGAGGATGGCCTCAAAGCTATCCTCTCCCATCCTACTCCTTCCACCCTTTCGCAGGCAACCCTGGCTATCAAGTCATGTCCAGTACACAAGCACACTCTGTTGTTGCTACTGCTGTTGTTGTTAGTTGTCATCAAGTGAGTGCAGCTCATAGCAACACTATGAGCAACAGATCGGAACCCTGTCCTGTCCTGTGCAGTCCTCATCTCTGACACATCTGAGCCCTTTGCTGCAGTCATCATGTCAATCCACCTCGTTCCTCCTTTCTTTCGTTGACCCTCTCTCTACCTTTCTAAGCATGATATTCCTTTCCAAGTAATAGCACATTCTGTTGTTGTTGTTATGTACCATCAAGTCAGAACTGATGCATAGCTAGCCACCCAGCGGGTTTTCAGAGGCATTTAATCACACAGGAGGAGACTGCCCATCCTTCTTCCACAGAGAAGCTGGTAGATGTGGACTGCATGCCTTTGGGATTGTAGCACAGTTTCTCACCACTAGACCACCAGACCTCCCTCTTATTATGTGCTGTTGAGTTGCCTGCTACTTATAGGGGCACTATATATAACAGCTCTGAAGCCTACCCTGTTCTGAGCCAATCTCACTGACTTCAATACACCTACTCCCATTACCCCCAGTTATTGTGTCAATCCATCTCATCCAGGGTCTTTCTCTCCTGTGCTGTCCCTCCACCCTTCTGAGAATGATGTCCTTCTCCAAGGATAGATCTCTCCTAGCCATGTGCCCAAAGTATGTGAGATGGAGCTTCAAAATCCTTGTCTCCAAGGAGAAACTTGGTCTTATCCTCTCTAAAACAGACCTATTTGTTTTCTTGATGGTCCATGGTATGCTCAAGACTCTTTTCCAGCACCACAACTCAAAGACATCAAATTCTTCTTTTGTCATCTTTAGTCATTGTCCAGCTCTCTAATGCATAGCAAGTAATTGCAAAGACCATGGCCTGGACCTTAATTTCTAGACTGACATCGTTGCTTCTCAATTCTCTGGAGAGAGAGAATCCCTTACAGCAGATTTCCCCAATGCAATTTGTCTTTTGATTTCCTGACTGCTGGTGCCAGTAGTGTTGATTGTGGAGTCGAGCAAGCTGAAATTGTTAACAACCTCGATCTCTTCTCCATCTATCACGGTGCTGCCAATTGTTCCAGTGGTGAGAATCTTCGTCTTCTTGATGTTGAGCTTCAAGGAAGATGTTGTTAGTCTTGACCTTCTGCAGCAAGTGCTTCAGGTCCTCCTCAGTTTCAGCAAGCAAGGTTATGTTATCTACACAATGCAGGTTGTTGATGAGTCTTTCTCCAATCCTGATGCCACATTCCTCCTCATAAAGCCCAGCCCCCTAAATGATCTGTTCTGCATAAAGATAGAAAAAGTATGGAGACAGGATATATCCCTGGCACAGTCCTTTCCTGATTTTTTTTTCCCATGTCAGATGGGTAGTGTGCCTCTGTCGTAACAAGGTTAGTAGGTGGCACATGTCATACAGACGTATGAACTCCCGATCATCGTGCGTATGAACCGGAAAAGGATCCCCTTTCCTGATTTTGAACCATGCCGTTTTCCCTTGCTCTGTTCTGACGACTGCTTCCTGGTACGAGTATAGGTTTCACATGGATATAATCAAGTGTTCTGGGATTCCTATTCTCCTCAAGGTTACCCACAATTTGTTATGATCCACACAGTCACATGCCTTTGCATAGTCAATGAAACACTGATTTCAAATCCTGCCTCCTCACACGGACCTTGGACATAACCTCTCTGGAACTTGATTTTTCTCATCTGTTGTTAGGTGCTGTTGAATCCATTTTCCCCTCACAGTGACTGAAAGTGACAGAGTAGAAGTGGCCCATAGAGCTTTGTAGGCTACGTCTTTATGGGAGTGGACAATCAGGGCTTTTCTCCTCTGGGCTGACCAGGCGGGGTTCAAACTACCAACCTTTCAGTGAAGTTGAGTACTTTCCTCAGCATCACCAGGATGCCTTTTCACATCTGTAAAATGGAAGCAATTTCTCCCTTCCAGGGTTGTTGTGAAGATCATTCTAGCAAGAACAGGTGCCAGAGAGTTCATACAGCCTCACGGTGAGAGGAGAACTTTGCTCCAGAAGGTTCTCCATGATTTTTTTCAGAAGCAGGCAGGCCTTTCTTCCCACGTGCCTCTCAGTGGACTTGAACTGCCATCTTTTGGTCAGCCATTGAGTGCACAGGCTGCTTGTGTTGAATCACCCACACAGTAGAAGACATGGAGGCTCAGTCAATGTCAGCAAAGATTAGCACAGTATTTCTTGTCCCTAAAAGGACATAATGCTTCCTTGGTCCCATGTCCACTTCCTGTTTCACTATTCTATCACAAAGAAACTTCTACAAAGATTTGTCATGGTGAGCTCCAATTCCTTATCTCCCATTGTCTTTTTAAATCCATCCAGTCTGCCTTCCATCCTAACTTACTGCTGAAACCAGCTGACTTTTTAAAAAAATTTATTTTATTTTATTAATTTTAATGAACATTTACATTGATTTTGGATTTCCATTCCAGCTGACTTTTATGTTACCAAATCCTTATGTCACTTCTCTGTTCCCATCTCATGTGACTTCTCACTCATATTTGACCCAGACAGTCAGTCTCCTTGTTTTGTCTTCTCTGTGATTTCAGAGCATGCCCTTCCTTTCCTCTCCTCTTTCTGGCTCCCTTATCTATTAAAAGGTATCTAAACTGTTCTAACATTTATTCCTCCTAATCTGTATCTTTCTTGGCCAGCCTTCCTTTAGTAAGAAATGGCACAGTTATCCCAAAGATGTCCAGGTTCAGAATCTAAAACTCACTTTTTATTCCTCTTTGTCCCTCACCTGGCACATCTAAATCACAAGCGATCTCTATCTATAAAATATCTTTTGAATCCATTAACTTCTTTTCATCTCTGCAGTCACCACCACCTTAGGTCAAGCCACCATCAGGCCTTGCCTCTAATCTATCATAATGAAACATCCCTCCAGGTGAGGGAAGCGTGTGCACAAAGTCCAGAAGAAGCACATTGAAGAGGTCAGCTGAACAAGTTGGGGGAATGTGCAGGGACTCTCACGGGGTGCAAGAAATGCAGTGGACAACAGATTCCGGAAAGGCTGAAAGTCAAGCAGAGAACAAAGGGGATCATGAAAGTCATGGTTAGAGGAGCTTAGCTGACAGCACAAGTTGGAAGAGCAAAGGCTTGGGGACAGCATGAAATGGAGGGGAACTTGTTCTGCCAAAGGTGCTATGATGAGATGGAACGAATGGCGTGAGAAGAGTAAAGAGCAGAACCTAGAAACACTGAGGAAGCATAACCAGGACACTAATACTAAAGGGATACAGACGGGAAAGGCAACAAAAAGTGTTCTGGGAGGAGGATAAGTGTCAAAGGAGAAAGCTGGGCAGGTGGGTTTTTTGGAGGGGGGCTTGTCAACCTCAGTGCTGGGGACAGGGTCTCCTGGAGGCCCGCATCTGGGTCACAGAAAGGCAGGTTTGGGAGCTGAGAAGACCAGGCCCTGAGAGCTTCATGAACTGGCTTCTGGGGGCTGAAGGGAAGTGAGCCCAAGGGGGATATAAGGAGAGTAAAAAATCTCGCATGAGACCAGTGCCAAGGAGAGCTCAGAGATAGGGAAGGGGTCTCACCCGCCTGTGCGCCATCCTGTCCCGGCTGTGGGTGAACTGTAAGATGCAGGATAGAGTTGATGAGGCCTATCGTCCCAGACGCCCTGCCATCCCTTCTCCCAGGCGGGCCTCAGGGCCTTGCTATTACTCACCTTCGTAGTGCGCTGCGATCGCTCTGCGAGGCCGAGCCGCCCGAGAAGACCGGTTTTTAGCTGCTGAGTGTTGAGAAAAGACAGATGGACAACACAGAGCCCTCCAAGGCTTGGGAACACTTCTCCTAGTCTCACACCCCTCCCAGGACCCTGACATCCATGTTTTTGCACAGATTAATGGCCTTAGAACTTGATCTTCCTCCATAAGTGAGTGACTATTACACAACCAGGATACTTCTGAGAGCAAAAGTGGTCCTGCTAATAGTCAGATTGAGATTACAGAGACAAACTAGAACAGTCCCAGCATACTAGCATGTACGGGCACAAATCATCTTATTCGTAAATGTCTTTGTTTATTAGGCTCTAGGCCTTTGCTCTCCTAACTTGTCCTCATCAGGACCCCATACTTGGGGTGGAGTCTGAAATGAGAAGCAGGTTGAGGAGGTAGGAGGAGCTTCAGAGGGAAGACCAGAACCCCTAGGTCCCTGACCCAGTGTTGTGTCAGCTGGCTACCCCAGGATTCTGAGTTCCCTTCCCTTCAATCTCTGAGACTCAGTTTCTCCATCCAGAAAGGGGAAGTAACATGTTTGGTCTGCCTGATGCACAAGGCTGTTACGATGAACAAAAGCAATAACCAGTCCAGAAACCCGAGAGCAGACACAGTGACTACTCCTGGGCTTGGGGTGGAGGGGTGCTCACCACTTCTGCGAGGCCGAGCAAGCTGGTTCAGGAAAGGCAAGGGACCCCCGCTTTCCTCTGCCTGGTGATTCAATTCCTGGGGGATTAAGGGCAGGGATAAACTAGCCACTTTCCCAGGACCCCCCCCCCCCAAGAAATAAACAAAAACAGCTTGGGGCCATTAAGAGAGCCCCTAGCCAGCAAACAGGCACAGAAATCTCAAGGAGAAAAGCATCCCTCCACCAAGTAAAGCGAGGTCCTGGGGCAGACGCTAGCTCTGACCCACTCCCCCAGCCCAGGTGAATCCCTCCCCCCAAATCCAGGCAGGAACACAAGCTCTGTTCTTCACTAGAACAGCACATACACTCCCCACCCAGACAGTGGGCCCGGTGGGTACTCATCCGGTCTCAATACCAGCATCCCCCTTCCGCACTAGCTCACACAGTCACACTCCTACTTCACCCACAGCCAATCAACACTGCAGCTTACTTGGTACAAGCTGGCACACACAGCTGCCTCTGCACATACACAGCTGGCATACAGTCCTCGCTCGCACTGCTGTCATGCACACCTGCCTTCACACACACCCTGCACACACCTCACATGCCCAGAAGCCTCCAGACAGCATCCACAGCCACTCACCGGTGGGTCCTCGTCCTCCTCTGACACCAGCTCCCCCTGGGAAGGCTCCTGCTGGGAAGGAGGCAGTGTCACCCTGTCCTGTCCACCTGACAGCTGGCCTTCCAGCCGGCCTCATCCTGTGCCCTCCCTCCCCCAGGCCCCCCAGAGCCCCAGGGGCAGTGCAGCAGGGCCTCACCTGGGTAGACCGGGCCGCCCGGCTCCCTAGGCCGACCGCGGCCAGCAGGAGGCCCAGGCAGGCCAGCGCCAGGCCCAAACCCAGCGCAAGCGGGGCCAGCAGGGCGGTGTCCGGCGCCTCCCGGCGCCCCCTCCTCCTCGGGCTCCGACGGGCGGCCATGGGGGCGGTGGGCTGTGTGCTGCCTCACCGCCCCCCCATCCCGGGACCCTAGGGATCCAGAGGGGGGCGGGCAGGGGGGCGGGCCGGCCAGAGGGAGGGAGGGGCCAGGGAAGCGGGCGGGAGGGGGCTGAGGACAGGAAGCCGGACACCGCGTGTGAGATGCCCTCGGGGCCTAGGAGGAGGGTGTGCGCAGGACTTGAGACCCGGGGAAGGGGCCCCCAGGCACCCGGGCGTGAACGACACGGGCGGATGTTTGTGTGTGAACCTGGAGGGTTGGGAGTTTGCACATCTGATTGTGTGTACACAGCAGGGAGGGAGGCAAGGAGTAAGCCTGGATGTAGGAAGCTTAGACATCTAGGGTTGGTCCTCTCCAAGCCCAGAGGTTGGTGCGGGAGCCTGAGTCGCCCATGTTGCCCCTCCTCACAGTTGAGGCCAATGTTCTTGCTCAGCTTCAGAAACCTTCACATTTTATCCACAGCTCCTCAAGGAAAAGACTTTCCTGGAAAGGACTAGCATCAGCATGGGCCATGCCCACAGCCTTTTCCACGAACCTGTTAGTCCTCTGTTTAAACTTAAGTGCTGGGCGGCTGGAGCAAGGCCTGTGGGCTGGATTCCCGAGGTGTACGCATTCCCAGAATCCACCTCTTTGGAAACACCTGGGCCACTTCAGAATAGGGTGTAAAAAAAGAGCTCAAGATATCTACAAGTGCCCCCGTAAATGAAGTTGGTAGGAGATGGACATTCCCTGGCCCCCCCAAAAGAATACAGTTTTGGAAACAGTAAGACCCTCACAAGTTCATCTAACCAGTAATGTTCACTTCTGCATATGTGCAATGTAGTAGAAGAGAATTCTGTTGCAACAGTAATAATGAAACAAAAAGGTAAAGCAGAGGTACTGAATAAGGAGAGTGGGTTGAGGGACTCTTGCCTGTGTATGTCTCCTGCTCTGTCCTGTCCTCTCCTCCTCCCTCCCTCCACTTTACTCCTGCTCCCTTCCTGTTTCTGGAATCTGCTGAACCACTTTCTCCCTACAGAGTCACAACACATGTTATTCCTCTCACTTGAAATATTCTGACCACCCTCAAGGCCATTTCCCCTCCTAGTTACATCACTCTCAACATTCCTTTTAAAAAATTTAAATAAGAGTTTATCACCTCATCTTCAATCACATCTCTGCTAAGTAGAAAATGTTCCTCATTCTCTATTTCAGGACTCTTTGTTTCTCAGTTATCAGAATCTATAATGACCTATTTCCTTGTGTACTGTTTTTCTGTCAAACTACATTGTAAAATATTTTTATTTTCTGGTTTATGTGCTATGTGTTGGTCTCTAGCATATGAACTCTAGGGGGACATTATTCATTATTATATCCCCAGCACCTTGTCAAACCCTGGATCCTGAAATATCACTAGAACACCTGTTGTTAAGAGAAAGCTGAATTTATTGCTTACTCCTCAGCAGAATCTGATAATATTTCTTAGAGAGAAGAGAAAAGCCCGTATATTTACTGAGATTTGGAAGTCTGCTTTAAGGCAAGTCTTTCAATGCTGGGACAGAGGCAGACAATGATCAAGACGGAGTAAGGATCACAGTAAGAGGATGTAAAATTAACATGATAATGTGAGGATTTTGAGACCAGAAGTTCAAACCACTTTAGGATATGTTATGGATTGAATTTTATCTCCCAAGAGTATTGGAATTCTCACCAGTAAATGACGTTAAGCACTGCAGCCTGCAATACAGATTGCATCCCAATATCAAGAAAACAGAAGTTCTTATCACTAGACTAATACGCAACATTCTGATAGATGGAGAAAAGATTGAGACTGTCAACAACTTCATCTTTCTTGGATCTGCATCAACATCCTTGGTGCCAGCAGTCAGGAAATTAGGAGACGTACTGCACTGGGAAATTCTGTAGTCAGGGACCTCTCCCAATTATTGAAGAACAGTGATGTCAGTTTGAGGACTGATTCAAGTCCTGATTCATTCCTCTAGGTGTGCCTGATTTAGGACGTTGTCTTTTCTATCACTTGCTCTGCATCTGAGAGTGCACAATGAATGAGGATGACAGAAGAAGAATTGATGCCTTTGAACTGTTGTATTGGAGGAGAATGCTGAACATCCCATGGAAGGTCAAAAGAACAAACAGGTATGTCTTGGAAAAGGTGGAGCCAGTGTGCTCCTGGGAGGCAAAGATGAAGCAGTTTTGTCTCACATACTTTGGGCATGTTGCCAGGAGAGGATATTCCTTGGAGAAGGCCATCATCCTTGGGAAGGTGAAGGGATGGTGAAGGAGAGGAAGGCTCTCAGCCAGGTGAATTGACACAGTGACTGCAGAAATGGGCTTGAGTGTGTCAGAGATGATAAAGATGGTACACAATAGGGCAGGGTTCGGATCTATTGTTCACAGGGTCATACTTGATTCAATGGCTCCTAACAACAACAATATACCTGTCAATATGACCCTGTTTGGAAATAGGAGCCTTCTTGTGTTATATGAATGAGGTTATGCCAGCGTTAGGTGAATCTTAAATCTCGTCACTTCTGAGAGATCTAAGAAGAGCAGACTAGACACAGGGATGCACAAGGAAGGAAGAGAGACCATCAAGAGTTGCCAAAGAACTCCCAGGGCCAAGGACCACCCCTAGATCCATGTCCTGAATTTGAACTTCAGCCTCTAGAATGATGAGAAGAGAAATTGCTACTCATTAAAGCCACTGGCTTATATTTGTTATGACAGCACTTGGTAACTAAAATAGGGTAACCTGTTCATTGATGTTTGCTATTGAAGGTTGGATCTTTCTGGAAGTACTTGGCATAATTAAGAGTTAATTACCACGTTTATTTCTAGGACGCAGAGTCTCTTGAAATAATACTTAATGCTAATGAGATAGTGGAGTCATAGTGGAGTGTAGACCACAAGCTTTGAGGGGGATAGATGCTTTCAGTTCTCAATCCATAACCGTGCTGTAGACCTGCTGACTCAGGAAGCAGAAGGCTCCAGGCTAATAGGACCCCATGTGAACTCTGCCTCTGCTTATACTCGGTGACTCTCTCTGTGTCTGGCAAACAGGGAGCACTCAATGAATAAACAAATTCCATGTGAAAGCATTCAATACATATATAGTGACTAATAATGCACGAGTGAATACCTGGAGTTCTAGTGGTTTAATACGAGGATGAGGAATAAGCACAAGGGATTTTGGTGGGATGCTCAGGAGGGGTTATTCTTCTTTTTTCTTTCTTTTTTCCCCTTTTCATGTTGTGTACTGTCAAATCAGATCCGAATGGCACAGGAGGAGACTGCCCCTCTAGCGGAGCATCTGGTGGATTTGAACTGCGTGCCTTCAGGATTGCAGTGCAGCTTCTTGCCACTAGGCCACCAGAGCTCCCTCAGGAGAGATTCTGGTCATCTTCAGGACACTTAAGTTACTTGTAGTTTTGTTAGGAACCATCAGGTTGACTCACAGCGACCCCATCCTGTGCCAACCTCAGGATCTCTGCCATATGGGAGCCCATTGTTACAGTCTCTGTGACCACCCATCTTGTTAAGGGTTTGTCTTCTTTTTCTAACCCTCCACTTTCCCCAGCATGATATCCTTCCTTTTCCAAAGACTGGACCCCTCCTGACAACATGCCCAAAGTATGTGAGACAGTTTCAGTATCTTTGCCTGGAGCTCCCTGATTGCACTTCCTCCAAGAAAGACTTGTTCGCTCTTTTGGCCATTGGTGGGATGTTCAGTGCTTCTCTCCAAAATCACAACCACACCAATTCTTCTTCTGTCACCCTTATTCATTGTCTAACTTTCAGATGCACAGGAAGCAATTGAAAAGGCCATGGTTTGGATATAAATTAATGATTTGGACTTAAATGTTATTTCATGTCCCACCTGTGAGTTTAAATTTTCCCTTATTGTAAGGGTCAAGGGTTCCCCTGGTATGATTCTGAATTTACTAGTTGTCAGTTGGAACCAACTCCTAGCTGACATTAAGGCTGTAAACTGTGTGAAAGGAGATTGTCCATCTCTCTCCTGTGGAGCTTTTGGTGCATTTGAAACACCTGATGGGCACAGCCTTTGGGTTAGCAGCCCAGCTTCATTGTGGACTGCAGCACCAGAGCCTTCCTAGTCATGGTCAGGGCCATTTAAGTACATACAGATGAAATGAGAAAGGGCTCACAGAAAGGAAACATTTTCTAAAGTTACTGAACAAGAGAAAACATCAAGGGCCTGTGAGTAAGGCGCTAGTTAGGGCCGGAGAGTGTTATCTGAGCCAGGTGCAGAGCCAAAGCTGGTGTAAAGCCCCGAGGGAGCCTGGCTCTGGCCTCCCAGGAGCGCTGCAGCTTTGGAAGGCCTTGAAATTGCCCAGCCGTAATGTCTATATGTAGTGGTTAAGACTGTGTGTCAGCTCGGCTGCCTGTGCCCCTCTGGCTTGGCAGCTACGATGTAGTCATTCCCTTGATGAGGTTGGATGTAACCTAATCATTGATGAGAGCTGCTTAATTGAAGGGAGCTTCCTCAGGAGTGTGGCCTGCATTGAGTATGTAGAAGGCTGGAAGGGCTCTCTTGCTTTTTGCCTAATCTGCATCTGGCTTTCCACTTCCAGACTTGAACAAGAAACCTGCCTTACCTGTCAACCATTCATCAGCTTCCACAGCTACAGGAATCAGAAGTTTCTGAGGTCGGTCTGACCTGGGAGTGGCCAGCCTCCACAAGCATGTGTGGAGGAAGAATATAGCAGTTACCCCCCACTCCCAGAATTAATCACTTCCTTGAGAAACTTGATAACATCTGAGGCAGCCAGATCAAAGACCAGACCAGACAATGGATTCTGATAAGGCTCTGGGCATGATCACAGAAACTCAAAGCCAACTTCATTAACACCTCAAATTCTGAGAAATAAAATCTTCCCTAGTCCTCCCCAGGTTCCCTATAAGAAGGAACTTCCCCTAACTGCTTGTGTGCCATTTTTTACCTTCTCTGCTCTTGGTCATTTGG